GTTCCATAAAAATTGTAGTTATTTGTTCTAGGTTTGTGAAAAATGCTGCTTTCAATCCAATTACAAATCTGTAACATATAAACCCTTTGATCTAGAAATTTCACTTTTAAGTATCTTCTAGATCTTTACACCCACACAAGTATTTTTAAGGATTTTCATTACCATGTTGTTTATGATCATGAAAAATTGGAAACACCTTAAAAATTCATAAATTGCAGAATGGTTAGCCAAGTTATTCTACATACAGGATGGTCCTATGTAGTCATTTAAAAATAAACAGGTCAATATCCTCTGTCAAGAAAAGATGGTTCCTATTTTTTGTTATGTGAACAAGGCAACCTGCTGAAATATATAATCTAACCTCATTTTGAAGAAAAATCCTATTTTATCGATCATGTTTTCTAGTTTCTGTATTGATGCTTTGGCATCTTGGGGCTTTGCTATCCCCCAGCATGGCAATGCCCTTCCCAGGGTTAGCTGATTCCTACCTATGGCAAAGGACTGTGAACTAGGCTTTCCTAGGCAAGCCACCCAATGCAGAGTCCTCATCCCCCAACCATGGCCTGTAAGAGCTTTTATACTCAGGGACACTATTCGCCTGCCCTCATTACCCAGGGCCACTATCCGACAGCTTAGGGCAGCTCCTATACCCCGGAGCTGATGAAATTACTCAAACTAGCCAATCCTAGACCTGTCTAGCCTGCTCACCCTGAGTCAGCACATTCCTTTCCTCAAAAACCACAAAAATTCTCTAACTTACACACAGTTCCCTGCTCTGCCTGTGACCAATCTCGGTATTCTTTCCTGTGGCCCGGCAGGCACCTGTTGCGTCTCCTTCCTCTTGGGAACTGTAACAAACTATCTAATGGCAACTGGCCCCTAATCTGTTAGCCTCACCAGAATTGGAATAAAATCTACATTTTAAAACACATATGCATTAAGAAAAAACTCTTCATGAATACAGATAGCAGTTATCTCTAGGGAATGCTCTTGGGGTGAGTGCAATCTATGAATGGGGAAGACAGGCAAAGGGTTACCACTATGTACTGTTGATTTATTTAAAGATTTTATTTATTTTCATTTACTTTTATTTATTATTTATTTATTTATTTATTTATTTGACACAGAGAGAGAGAGAGATAGCAAGAACAGGAACACAAGCAGGGGAAATGGGAGAGGGAGAAGCAGGCTTCCTGCTGAGCAGGGAGCCCAATGCTGGGCTCCATCCCAGGGCCCTGGGATCATGACCTGAGCCGAAGGCAGAGGCTTAACCGACTGAGCCACCCAGGCGCCCCTGATTTATTTATCTTTTAAGGATTTTCTTTATTTGCGAGCAGGTGGGAGGGACAGAGGAAGAGGGAGAGGGGAAGTAGACTCCCTGCTGAGCATGGGGCCTGACGAGGCAGGGTTCGATCCCCCCCCCCCGAGATCATGACGTGAGCTGAAACCAAGAGTGAGAGGCTCAACCGACTGAGGCACCGAGGCACCCCGATTTATTTTTATACTTGTATACTTAAAAAAATAAAATACTTTAAAAATCAACTCTATCCATCTCCTATACAACCACTGTAGGACAAACCATGTTAATTTTCTAAAAACACTTTTTATTAAACTTATTTTTGGCTTTTAAAAATTTTTATTGTGATAAGAATGCTTAACATGAGCTCAACCTTCTTAATGAATTTTTACGTGTAAAATACAGTATTGTTAAGTATACCAGAATATAGTATATAGGTACAATGTTGTACATCAGGTATCTAGAACTTACTCATCTTGCCTAATTTGCAGAACCTCTCCCTAGCCCTGGCTTCTATGAGTCTATTTTAGATATTTTGTAGAGGAGGAAAAAGTTTTTTTCCTGCCCTCCTAGGATCCCTAACTGGGTCTGAGAATTAAACTGATGAAGACAGATTAACAGGAGAAAAACATACAAATTTATTCAATAGAAGTTTCACATGACATGGGGGCCTTCATAAGGAAATGAAGACCCAAAGAGATGGATCTGTGCATTGTTATGGGATGCTGGATGAGAGGAGGCAGACATGGAGGCATGTGGTAGGTTAAGGGGTATGAGGTAATTATAGTAAGCTCAGTGAGGACTGTTCATTAGGATTCTTCTGGGTCCCACTGTCTTCAGAGACAAGGATGCTCCATTCCTCTGGGTACAGGGAGGACACCTCTGCAGGAGGGTTCTAGGACACCTGTTTTCAGGAAGAAAGGCTAGGGGGAGGAAGTCAGAGTGGCCTTCCTGCTTCTGCTGTTCTCCCAAATTCCTTCAGCTTAAAATATTCAATATGCCAATGTGCCGTATTTTGGGGTAGTGTGTCCTGAGCCCCATCAACCTCAAATAAGTGGAATGTGCGGTATTCACCCTTGAGGATGTCCTCAAGGTTCATCCATGCTGACACCTATGGCAGGATCCCCCCTTTATAAAGGCTGAGTGATAGTCCATCGTATGTCCATATCACATTTTCTTTATCCACTTGTCAGTCCATGAACATTAAGGTTGTTTCCACATCTTGCAATCCATCTTAATTTCTTAGCTAGTCTACTAAAACGTCAAGCTAACTGATTTTCACTTTCCCATTATCAGCCCATCAATGCGCTCTTCATAATGACACAGAATGAACTTAAAAAAAAAATCACTCATCAGCTCTTTGATTTCTGGATACTTTGGAGGGATAAATGCCCTGAAAAAAAAAAACATTCCCACTACAAAACTAAAGAGGAAAAACAAACACCTTTCTTAAATGCTGAATACCTAGCTGAGCTAGCCCATAATCAGGGAGGATGAAAGGAATACAGGGAAGATGTGGTATAAAGAAAAGCTTGGGAGGGAAGCAGGCACGGGGGGCATGATGGCCTGAACGACATTTGCTGGACCCAGGAACTTAGACGCTTGGGTTCTTCAGCAATTTCACTGGGAGGTGGGAGGACATGGCCTTGGACGCACACAAGGTAGAGTTAGAACAGCAGCCTGCGCAGGAGCCAGCTCTCCTCTGTGAAGGTGGGACCCCAGGCTTGCCCTCACATCAGCCTGCGCAGGGGCCGGCTCTCCTCTGTGAAGGTGGGACCCCAGGCTTGCCCTCACACAATATAAACTGAGGCTTCAACTTCTACTGAATGTCCTAAGAAAGCACAAGCTGAGAAATTAACAGACACACACCCCTTCTGGGCAGCGTACCGCCAACCCCGGCCTTCAGGATTCCCAACGGAACACAATCCAAAACTCTGGAACAGCACAGAAACCTCCATGAGGGAGAGTCAGCAAAAACAAACAGCAAAGGTAGACACCTGAAGGCTTGAGGACTGAATTTAGAAGCAGAGTATAAAATAAGTAAGGGTTAAGAAGCTTAACAACAACAAACAACAACAAAAAACCAAAGCTAGGAACAGATGCTATCCAATAAAGATCCTAGCAGTTTGAATAAACAGCAAATAGCCCATCTAAAATAAAAATATTATCCTTGAGGGGCACCTGGCTGGCTCAGTCAGTAGAGCGTGAGACTCTTGACCTGGGGTTGTATGTTTGAGCCCCATGCTGGGTGCAGAGATTACTTAAAAATAAAATCTTTTAAAAAATAAATCAAGAGGGACACCTGGGTGGCTCAGTCGGCTAGATGTCCTACCCTTGGTTTCAGCTCAGGTCGTGATCTCAAGCCCCACATCAGGCTCTGTGCTCAGCCGGGAGTCTGCCTGAGAGTCTCTCTCCCTCGCTCTCTACCCCTCTGGCTCATGCTCTCTAAAATAAATAAATAAGTCTTTTTAAAGATAATAAATAAAATATTATCCTCGATATTAAAAACTCAAGAGATTCATTAAAGAAATATTTCTGATTTTACAGAAAAAAAATAAAGACGTGACTTGGAATATGTCATTGAGAGAGATATCCACCTCCCCTCCTCCCCCGCCACCCCAAATCCCAAGGGCTGAGACAGAGGCTAGAAGGTGTGATAACACACACACTTGGGAGTTCAGCAAAGAAGACACAAGAGAATGTAGCACTGCAAGAGAAGAGTAACAGCACTTTCTCCAAACTTGAATAAAAGGAATAAATTTGAAGTTCGGAGAGCATAACAAAGCCCCAGCAGGCTAAATAACAAGAAATCTACATCTAGACACGTCGCAGTGAAACCACACGGCACAAGGAACACGGGTCTTAAAAGCAACCAGAGATTTAGATTACTTAAATCACTTTCCTGCTGAAAAGTCCTCAATGCCTTCGTGTTGCCTGGTTAAAATTAGGTTATTCCCCAAATTTCCATCCAAAGATCATAGTCTGTAGTCTAGAAAATAAGAATGGAAGTGACTAATGAGTAGAAATTTCTAGTCTCCATCACAGTTTAACATGTCTGGCAAGAGTGAACTACTCTTGATGTTTGATTTTATTTTTTTTTAAGATTTTATTTATTGATTTGTGAGACACAGAGAGAGAGGGAGGGAGAGAGAATAAGTAGGGGGAGGGGCAGTGGGAGGGAGAAGCAGACTCCCTGCTGAGCAGGGATCCCGATACTGGGACTTGATCCCAGGACCCTGAGATCATGACCTGAGCTGAAGGCAGACGCTTAACCGACTGAGCCACCCAGGCGCCCCTTGATGTTCAATTTTAAAAAGGACGTTGGATGATGGAAAGGTAACAGTGTTCCCAGAAGAAACAGGAATATTCTGGGCCACCAGTGAAGGGTGGGTTATGGTGAGGCAGGGGTGACTGGTGCCTGGCTCACACTCCCCTCCACGCATCCCATTTTCCTTTGTTCTTGCTGGTACACCAAACAAGAACATCCCATCGATTCACTGTTCGTGCATTTTAGCCTTTTCTCACTCCATCCTCAGAGAAGTTTCTTTCCTGTACATGTGAAACACAAAATCAAATTCCACAACGCAGCTGTGCCCTCCTTTGCATCCTGACATTTAAACAACCTCACGAGAGCTGCTTGCTTGGGATAGCAGCTCAGAACCACACAACTTCGGGGTTAAGAATGGAGAGACAACAGGACACGTATTGGGAAAAATGTTTATTCTCCTTGCCAACATCTCTTTCAACATTTTATTAACTAATGAAAAATGACAATCAGAAATAATTTGGTTTCATATTGCTTTCAAAGAGCTGTAAGAAAGTAGCTATTTAGAAAAAGGAGGCCCATCAGTTTTTATAAAGAAACATTAGACGCATTATGCAAAGTGAGAATCCCATCCCACGGAAACACATGATCGAAGCTCAGACTAACAGACACTCAAACAGGCTCTATTCAAACTACAGTTCTCCATTTCTCTTAGAAGAATCTTTTTTTCTCAGACTCTTCCTGAAGCACTTCATAATAAACAAAGAGGTCTGGCCAGCTCGTTTCTTCATAAGCTGAGGTCTGACAACATTGCCACGTGTTGTGGGGAGAAGGGGCTTGACCTCTGAGACCAATTATCTTTGAGTGGTTCCAGTCAGTACAGACAGAGCTGAGAGACGGTCAAGGCAAGTGACGAAGAGAAGCAAATGCAAGACGCCTATCACCCACTTCAGCAATACAAGCTGCAGAGTGATCCTCCTGCCCCCACTTCACAAGACCGAAAAGCTTAATGAGGAAGGAACCTGTATTGTTCCTGAAACAATACAATCCTTTCATTTTGTTTGTTTTTTAAAGTACAGCTCTTCAAGAATTTCATTTTTAAGAAATCATCTGTAAGGGAAGAAAAATAAATGTACTTAATTCAAACACCAATTTTTAACGCTGCCATGATAAGCAAATGACCAAAACATCGGGCCAGGTTGACAGGTTCCAGAAGACCCCAGCAATAGGGAAAACTGCCTAGGTTTGGTTTCAGGCACAGCAGAAAGGACGCCTGCTTTTTCCTCATGTCCTTCGCCACACCGATGGGCTCACCAATGCCTGAAATAAATTCGGCCTCTGTCCTCTGCCTTCATTATCTGTTTTCTCAGGTTGCCAAGGTGCTGGGCCTGCCTCACTATTATTCTGGGAACAAGCAGGTCTTCCCAATTATTTCCCCCTCTGTGTCAGTGAAGTTAAGACCCTGCCCTGAGAACAGGTCTGAATAAGGGACGAAGGGCACTGGGCAGAGATTAGCTCTCATACCAGCAAATTCAAGATAAATGCCTAACGGTGACATTAACCTGACCCACATGACAACCGTTTGCCAGATGTCTGTCAGAAGATATTCTATATGCATAGATGTAAAAGATGTTACCACCCTCTGTGGGAGACACCAGCACACACCCACCAATGTCCCCAAATGAACAAATAACAACAAGCGAGCAGAACTTTCATAGCATGGTTGAATCCACTCTTCTGCTTACTTACTTTTAACCCAGGTTTCTGATCCTCGTCATGTACTTCTCTGGGTTGGCAGCACTCATTACTGTAGTATAAACTGTGTAGCTGAAAACAGTGAGAGGAATTTTTATATGCACATCATTGTCTCTAATATTCCAAGGAGGAAAAAAAAATACCAACCTAACCCTTGGGACCTAGGAAAATAATACAAATAGAAGCCCATATATGTCAAAATGTTTAAAATTTATAATTCAAGTGATCACACGGCGTCCTTCCTTTCTATTTTGACAACACTATGGAAGGCCATGTTCAAATTTAAAATTTCTCGGACTCCTCAGAGTTTCACACTGTGGCAACGAGGGAGAGGCATCCGTTGGCCTCACCCCTTGCTCTGCCCTATACCACAAGTGGAACGTGTATGGACACCTCAGCCTTTGCATCTAGGCTTCAAGCACGACTCCAGGAAAAAGCCATGCCTTGACCACCCACCAGGCATGGGGTATCCATAGTGGCTAGACTCTGCCATCAGGAGAACACCACCCAGGATAGTGGATCACATAGGCCCCAGAAATAGCTCGCTCTTCAGGCTAGGTACTTGGGCCAGACTCACTAAGTAAATGCTCCTGGCCCAGTGGATTCCTTATATCATAAAGGAGGGTTAGAGGAAGGCCAGAGAGGAGCCTCTAAAGCTGGGGGATGAGGTTAGGGGGCCCATTTACCCAGATCTAAGGATGAAAAGCACAATGTAATTTATTCAACATACTGCATAGCAAGAGACCAGAACAACATGAGTACATGCACATGCATGCACACACACACTAGGACCCCTCCCCCTCACTCCCTTCATCTAATTCTTGTCCAGGACACCAGCTGGAATGCATGCTCAAGGCATCTGGAGCTGGGTTGTTCAGGATTAGGAAGAATTAGTGGCCCAAACTGTACACCTGGCTGAAGACAGCTATAAGTGCATACAGAGCTCGTCCGAGGGTAATGGAGATTCCCTGAATAAGGACTTCAGCTGTTTATTTATTTTGGTCATCCATCGCTATTTTAATATTTTCTCTGCTTACAGCCACATCAGAGGATGGAGTTCTATCGCAGGTTAGTGTAATTTTGTAGCACAGCACAAGGGGGCAGCATTGAGCTAACTGTTTCTGTGGAGATTTCTTTCTGAACTCAGTGAAACAGCCTTGGTTGCCAGGAATCATTACAAGGAAAGGGCCTGAGAGTCAGGGATCTATGTTAATTCTGGCTCAGCGGTGAATATCCTCTAAATGCAGTTCCTCGGGGCACCTAGGTGGCTCAGTCTGTTGAGCGGTTGAGCGTCGGTTTCTTGCTTCAGATTCTTGGCTTCAGCTCAGGTCAAGATCCCAGGGTCCTAGGATCCAGCCCAGCTCAGCAGGGGTCTGCTTCCCCTCTGTCTCTCTCCCTCTGCAACACCCCCCCCCCCCACCACCACTCGTGCACTCTCCCTCTCTCTAAAATAAATAAATAAATCTTAAAAAAAATAAATGCAGTTCCTTTTGGGTTTTCAGTTACACAACAGAGAAAAATATTACTTGGTTAACTACAGTTTCTAACAATTCTATTTCAACAAAACATTTCATATGCCATTTAAACATTCATAGCCTTTAACCCAGTAACCCTACTTCTGGGAATTCAGCCAGGGAAATTAATCCAAAAGTAGGGGGGGGTTGGGGTGCATGTACAAATATGTTTATTTCAGAGTTTTAATAGAGGTAAAACTAACAACTGGAGAATGCTTAACTCAACTATACAGTATATTCAATTGGCTACGGTGTACCTATTTAAAATTATAAGGGCTGTTGACAGCATGGGCAGTGCTTTTAAAAAATATATCAACTCTTGGGGTGCCTGGGTGGCTTAGTCAGTTAAGCATCAGCCAAAGGACCTTTGGCTCAGGTCCTTATCTCAGGGTCCTGGGCTCTGGCCCTGAGGGGCTCCTGCTCAGCAGGGAGTCTGCTTCTCCCTCTCCCTCTGCCGCTCCCGTCTGCTCGTGCTTTCTCTCTCTTAAATAAATAAAATCTTTAAAAATACATAACTATCTTATTTTAATACTAATTTTTTTAAAAAGATATAATCATTTATATAATTATTTTAAAAACTATGAGAACACACAGAAAAAAGAACATCCCTATTTTTAAAATGAATATTAGAAGGGCAAAATTGTGCCTGACTAGAAAGGATACAGTCATTTGTGTTGTATGGTGGAAACGGCTCCTACAGGCTGGTGAGAGCCAAAACTGTTACCCATGCAGGAATCAATCATAAGCTTGAAACAGACCAGCTGGGAGTCTTTACAGCATGGAAGTCAATAAATGCACAACTGAAGGGGGGGATCTTTGTTTTTTGGGTTCCCCTCATCCTGCACACCCCCCCCCACCCAAAGAGCTAGTTTACTAACATAACACTGGGTATCACTTATTACCCAAACAGCTCATTTGTTAGAGTGGCAAAGTACTGACTAATTTGTTTTTCTGTATTGGCTGTTAGAATATTGTCTACAGAATAATTTTTTTTAGTGTTACTCTTTTTATCAGGCCATACTTACAGAAAAAAACTTTCAAAGGGACAATTTGAAGATGTATCCCTATTATGGTACAAAATGAAAAGGATACCACCAGTTTTGAAAATATCTTAATAGCTAAGGAATCTTAAAATACCTGTATACAAAAGTTATTCCAGAGGCCATAGGAAAACTATTTTGTGTTTGTGTAAAAGAGGATCATTTCAAAGAAAAAGAAACATCAGTTGGGTATTTGAAACTAAAAATCGCTTTACAGGTTTTGTCTGTATTAGGCTATTTCCCGAAGAGGACCACTTTGATATTCTTGCCTTGGAGAAAGCAGATGTAAGAACACGAGAAGGTAGGAAATGCTGGGTTTGGGAATTTACTGAAGTAAAAGGAGATAAAACATCTTTGACTTGCAGATGCTTCCTCCCTCATTTCATTAAATTAAGCCCCACCTCACTAAGCAAAAGAAGGTGTCTGTGCCCCTAAGGAGCTAATCCTAGGTGCCAGGCAATGAAGCACCACCTTGAGGGGACAATGAAGAGCAGGCTGTTGGTCTTGGCCTGGGACCTTCAGAGTTTCCCAGGCAAGTCCTGTGGCTGCCTCTCAGGTTTAATTAAGAGCTTCCCATGACAGGAGTAGCTACCGCCCAGGGGTTCATATCAGAGGATGATGTGGGCTGTAGACCTGAGAAGCCGCTGCTCACACAATGCTCCTATCAAGGGTATAGGCTAAAAAAGAAAGAACAGCTTCGATGCTGAATTATCTGTAGACGGAGCACGGTGGTAGCAGAACGTCCCAGGAAGTTAAAGGGAAGCCAGCAGTGTCTAAAGTTTAGTTCTAACAGAGTGAGATTAAGGCACTCATAAACCAGGGCAGGTGGACCGAACACCAGACTGATTTAGGATGAACACATCACTGCCCTCCTCCTTCTGGATCACTCTATCCTCCTTACCTTTGTTTTTCTTCATGGACTTCTCACCTGACTTATGATATATTTGTTTATGCGCTCCTCCCCGCCTCCTCCCTATGCCCCACCAGCAGATTGCTAGCCCCAAGAGAGCAGAGACTCGGTTTGGTTCACTGCTGTACCCACAGCACCTAGAAAGCCTGACCTGTAGGGCCCCCAGAACCCTGCTGAGCCAAAGAGTATGGGAGTGAGTCCCCCATTCTGGGGTGATGTATGAACAGATGCGTTTAACATGTCACTTACTTGTTACACACCGGAAACACGGACAAAACCTGCAAAGGAAAAAATCATATTACAAAGACTATTAAAAGGTAGAAGAAATATGTAGAATATCTATAGGAAGAATAAAACTACCTAACACTCTAGCGTGTCTTGGGGTGACAGAGCTACAGACTTCTGAATCCTTTCTCCTTTTAAACAATGAACATATACTGAAACAAGTTCACAAAATGTCATCGGACTTTTTAGAAAGGTTTTCAACCGGGTGAAACTCTGACTCCAACACTGTCATCTACCACATTTGCCTGAGTTCAGAGATTTCGGAGGAGATTCTTTTTTTTTTTTTTTAATCACGATTAACAAAGACAGCAGACATCCTGGGTAAGAGCTGGACATCACGGCACAGTGAGTTACCTGGAAGAGCGTCTCCACGCTAAGGTTTGCCTGGCCCGTGGCATTAAGGGCTTTGATGGCAGGCGTTCTGGAAGGAGAAGGGTCAAAGATTACTTGGCACTTCAGGAAATGCCATCAGCTCTCATACTGGGAACCACCGTACAAGGCCCAGCTGCCTTATCTCCCTTTCACCAAAGCAGATTCCGGCCCCCAAACATGCTTCTTGCCTAGTCTCAGACCACCATGGTAAAATTAATTCAACAGTCAAGCCCACAGGTACCATCTGCTCCAGGAAGCTGGGTGGGTGAAAATGTCTTGCTACGAAATTAAATATTTGCCACCAAACACGTGCGGCAGTAAAGCCAGGAGGAAATACCTAACTACCTGCTGTTTGGGGATGCATGGACTTATAAAATGTTCAAAATTAGAAGGGCCAGGGGCACCTGGGTGGCTCAGTCGGTTAAGCGTCTGCCTTCGGCTCAGGTCATGATCCCAGGGTGCTGGGATCGAGCCCTGCACTGGGCTCCCTGCCCGGCTTGTGCTCTCTCTGTCTCTGTCAAATAAATAGATAAAATCTTAAAAAAAAAAAAAAATTAGAAGGGCCAAAGAAAGCCCCTAACTGACTTATTTATTTATTTATTTATTTATTTAAGGGGAATGTTTTCCTTCCCAAAAAGTCTTACATAGAAAACCATGATTCTTGTTCTACCCTTTCTTTTTACAGTTGAGTAAACAGAGGCTCAAGGGGCCACCCAGTGAGTCATCAGCAGAGCTAGTGGTAGAATATAGGGCTCCTGACCCTGAGGCCAGGCCAGCCTTACCCTCCAACACCCAACCAACTGCCAAGAGCCCTCCCCCCACACACTCCACTACACACTACAGTCTCCCATCCCGGCCAAGACATTGGTGAGGGGGCCAAGGTACATTTTCTGGAAGGGGGTAGCGCCTCTAGTCCTCTCTGGTTCTCTCTCATAAAAAGGGCACATTCTCCTGACCCCAAGAACACACTATAAACTGGCAGGGGTATAGAGGCCTACCTTCGGTCATCTTTCTTAGGTACTGGCTTCCAGTGGTCGTAATTTGTCTCCACCCGGAACCACCTACAACAGAGCACATCATCTGGTCTTACCCAAGGTCATTTGGCACATAGCTAAGGAAGAAAAATATATAAAAACCTCTAGTTTCCCCAGTTGAAAAACATTATTGATACAAAATGACCAGAGTCTTAATTCTACTCACGCTCCATTTAAAGGATCTAGAGGCCAAATGTCTGCTGGGCCATTTCTGTTCCTCGTGATGACCACTCCCTCCCGGGGGGACGTACCACCGACAATATAATAAACATCAGCAATTAGGGGAGTCTTGGCCAGTTTATACACAGCTGCTTCAAAGTTTTCTGACTCACTCAGGGTCTGAACAAGAAGACAAACCTGCATTAGCATCATCACCCACGGCAGTTATCCACACCAACTGATGGACAAATGGGCCAAAGCACATTCTCCTGACAGATTAAGCCATGGCTACCATCTCAAACTGCTCTGACCTCGTCCTCCTGTCATCAGGGCTCCCAAGGTGGAAGAAACCTCAGTGGGGAGCCGATAGCAGCTGTACTTTTCTCACAAAAGGAAAGAACTGTTGACAAGTTCTAGGCCTGGCTCACCGACCATGGGCCACGTGTTTTCTAGGCAGGTCACCTTCACAAAGGACTCCCCATGTTTCCTCATTCATTTGTTCTTTCAACAGGTCCTTTCTGAATACCTACTACATTTTAGGCACTGTGCTGGTGTGGAGACAGAGCAGTGAATATGACTGACCTAACCTTGTTCACTCCAAATTTCCAAGAATGACACGAAAGTCAATGGGCAGTGGTGACACAATGTACAGAGTGTCACCACGGAGAAGCAGTTGCTACAAAAGCCATAGCAGGGGACCCACCCTCACCCAGGGCATCAAGGAAGCATCCCGGGGAGGTATCGCACAAGCTGAGGCCAAAGGGACAAAGGGAAGTCAGGCTGGGGAAAGTGGTGGTTGTGGGGTTGGGCGTGGGGGTGGGGAAGACAGTTCTGGCTCAATGGAATAGTTCAGCAAAGGCTTGGAGATGGAAGACAGCGTGCTACATCAGAGCAGTAAGCAGGGTGTTCAGATACCCCCGGGGGTTCATGAAGACTTCCAAAGGTCTGTGGCATGGACAGTTAAGGGGATCGCTTTCCATATCTTCAGCTTCCATAGGTGCTCCTTGCTCAAGTTGATCTGCTCAAGAACGTCCTGGGGAAGAGCCTGCCCTTCCCACCTGCATCTTCAAAATCACTCTTGGAAAGTACGTTTTCTGCTCACCCATCCTGAATACTGCCGAGGCACAGTGTCAGGGGTGGGGGTAAAGTCAAACAAAAGAACAATTCAAAATATCAGCGTCTGCAAAGGTGCCATCATTCAGCACCATACACCATCAACCTGGGGCAGGGCTTTGTGGGCCTTCCTCTCCTGTATACATCTTACTATTAGGGGGTGAGGTATTTAGGGTTGAATTGGTTGGTTCTGAACTCAGCAAAATTATAAAGGGAGGCAATAGGAGTCACGGAACACTGTTTTATGTCACCTGCACCAACTATCAAATAATTCGTTGCCTCTAACAGAATCCTATGAGAAAAAAGCCAAAGAACATCAGTAAGAAATACCGAAGGTGGTGGTGACTTGCTTCATTCAGGTGGCAGAGTCAGGGTGGGACATGCACCTTATCTGTCTGGCTCAGGAAGTGATGGAAATGGGTGGTGACTGCTCATGGGTACAGGATTTCTTTTCAGGGGAATGAAAAGGTTCTAAAATTGATTATAGATATGGTTGCACAACTCTGACTATACTAAAACCAGAGAGTTGTATAATTTAAATAGATGAATGGTATGGCATGTGAATTGTATGGCATTATACCTCAATTAAATATACACCTACCTTATGACCCAGCAATTCCACTCTTAAGCACTTACTCAACTGAAATGGACATACATGTTAACTAAAAGCTTTGTACAAGGATTTCTATAGCAGGCTTATTCCTAATGGCCCAAGACTGGAAACAACCCAATGTCTATCAATAGGAAAATTGTGGCATATTCACACAACTGAATATTCTTCAGTAATAAAAATGAATGAGCAAGTGATCCAAACAACATGGATGAATTAGAAAAGCATTGGGCAGAGTGAAAGAGAGAGTCTGTACTCAGGATTTCATTTATACATATTCTAGAAAGGCAAACTTGTCTGTGGTGACAGAGGTCAAAGAGTGGTTTCACTGGAGGAGGGTGTCAGAGGAGGTAAGGAATTGTCGGGAAGGGAACAGGAGGGAAATTTCCAGGGACTTGGAAATGTTCTGTATCTTGTTTTGTTGGTGCTTACATGGGGGGATAAATGAGTGTGTCCAACTGCCAAGATACATTGAACTAAACCCTTAAGATCTGTGCATGTCACTGTATGTAAATTTTATCTAAAACATTTAAAAATCATTTTGCTGTTACATTCCACCAGACAGATCTAAATTCTAGTTTCATTTTTAAATGGCAACATTCGAAATACACTTTCATCTTATGATGAAAAGTTTTAGGGACACCTGGCTGGCTCAGTTGTTAGAGCATGGGACTCTTGATCTCATGGTTGTAAGTTCGAGCCCCACGTTGGGGTAGGGATTACTTAAAAATAAAATCTTAAAATGTTTTAGAGGTCATCTTAAAAAGATATGAAGTATATGGGGTTCCTGGGTGGCTCAGTCGGTTAAGCGGCTGCCTTCGGCTCAGGTCATGATCCCAGGGTCTTGGGATCAAGCCCTACATCGGGCTCCCTGCTCAGCGGAGAGTCTGCTTCTCCCTCTCCCTCTGCAGCTCCCCCTGCTTATGCTTGCTCGCTCTCCCTCTGTCAAATAAATAAATAAAATCTTTAAAAAAATGTTAAAAAAAAAAAGATATGAAGGATACACAGTTTGTCAACATCTTTAGGAAGTACCCAGGTAAGAGGTTGAGGAGAACTCCAAGTCCAGAGGGACTAAGATCATTTAGACCTAGTCAAAGAAGGGCCAAAAAGGTTGAAGCTGGGCAGGGCCAAATCCTGCACCAAATGTGGTCAGATTACAAATTAGAATTTATACGTGGCCTGGAACTCTGCTGTCTATCTAATAGGTCATGTAAAGTAAACTTTCTTTTTGTTGTGTGCAGAACTACCTTCTAATGCCTTTGTTTTGCTAATTCTGATATTTGCAAATGGAGATTCTAAAAGGAGGGTACATTTTTATCTGCAGAAAAAGCATACCGTTATCTCTTATCTCAATCAGTTATCAAGATTAGGCTATAGGCTAAAACTGTAGCCTGTAACAAAGATTCTCTCCTTAACCAATCTTTGGCTAGGCTCCTCTGAGCCCTCTCCTTGATAAGGCCTTAACCTTGGCCTATAAGGACTTGAACAAACATAACAGAGTTTCTAACAGCTCAAGGCTACATCCCTAAGGTGACCCTAGCCCTTCTAGTGCCTGCCTGAGAAAATAAGACTGCCCAAAGAATTTACTGTTTGTTCCAGCCAGCGCTTGAAGATAGGACCCGTTTTCCAGTCTCTGCAGGAGGGTAGGAGGCTAACTTTGATGAGCACCAGTTAGCAAACCCAGATATGTCTGACATGGACAACCTCTCTTTTACACTTTCTGTAATTTTTCACTTCTCCCTCTCTAGAGAGACATCCCTCTCTATTCCCTTATATTCCCTTTAAAACACCTGGTCACCTCTGTACAAATCAAAGTTGAGTTCAGTTCACCTTGGACATTCTTCCCTACTACAATAGTACAATACTGATTAATCTGTCCCTACCACTGATTTCTTTTTATTGAGGTATGACTGACATGTAACATTATACTAGTTTCAGGTGTACAAAGCAATGGTTCAATATTTGCATATATTGCAAAATGGTCCCCACAATAAGTCTAGTTAAAGTTCGTCACCATCCATAGTTACAAAAAAATTCTTTTCTTGTATGAGAACTTTTAAGATCTACTCTTAACAACTTTCACTTATGCGATATAGTATTATTAACTATAATCACCAGGCTGTACATGACATGCCCATGACTTATTTTATAACTGGAAATTTATAACTACTCCTTTAACTAGTGTCTAGCTCTGTTTATCTTTGATACTTATTATCACAAAGGCTGATATGCATTTTGCAAACCCTTAGATGCCTATCCTTTTTAGGAGCTTCTTACGTGAAAGATAACATTGTTAAATGACACAGAGCATTACAACATGAACCCACAGAAGATTAAGTTAGGGTGTGCGGGGCTCAACAGTAAGGTACTCACAGTGCGGATAAGCCAGCTGATTGGATAGTGTCTCTGGAAAAGGGCAGCGATCATGTTCTCCCACCACCAGCCTTTGTCTGCCGAGTTGAGGAAGAAACAAGTATAAATATGAATTGTTGCCCCAGTTCCTACATTTTAAAATTCCTTATATCTTATTTCTTTCCCATAGTACAAGCTGATGGGAGAGAAAAGTTGGTAGATGAAGAGTGATTTTACTGGCATCCAGTTTTCAAAGATAAAGCTCAAATTTCATGGCACCCATAGAAAAATGTAATTTATATATATATACAAATTTCTAGCTATTTGTTTTTTTTTATTTTTAAAGATTTTTATTTATTTATTCATGAGAGACAGACAAAGAGAGAGGCAGAGGGAGAAGCAGGCTCCCAAGGAGCAGGGAGCCTGATGCGGGACTCGATCCCAGGACGCTGGGATCACGACCTGAGCCAAAGGCAGACACTTAACCATCTGAGTCACCCAGGCGCCCGGAATTTCTAGCTATTTGGAAATATTTTGTGTGTGTATACATGAATGTTCTGTATACATATTTTACATATACATAATCTTTTGTGCCTAGAAGCAATGATAATTATGTGAAAGGAAATAATTCGATTAATCATCCCAGGCAAAGCAGAATTATGTAGCTATCAAGAGAAGTGGCTCAATAAGGATTAGGAAGACTACAGAGAATATACCTTTCAGAACTTTAAGTTTGATTTGGGCTCATATTTAAAAAAAAAATACAAATTTACAGTCATTCTCCAAAATTATTTCTTTTTAACATCTTAAAAAAATCTTTGTTGGGGATTTATTTCCAAAGAAATAGTTTCATTCAAGACATAAGCACTGAGCATCTACTATGTGCCATACTGTGATCTGGTCCAGTCCCTTGGAATTTAACGGCAAACAGAAGTAATTAGTGTGCCATCAAGCACACAAAATTTTGGTAACTGTAGTAAAGAAAATAAGACAGAATAATCATGAGTAATGAGGGAGGGTTCTTTTTGAGAGGAATGTTGAGGGTAGCCTCAGTGAGTTGTAGACATTTGAGCTAAGATGGGCAGAACATTCCAGACAGAAGGCGTGGGTGTCAGGGCCCTAAGGCAGGGACAAGCTTGGTAGGTGTCAGAAAAAGAAAGATGCTGGTGCCCGTGGAACGAGGGAGAAGGAGACAGGCATAAAATGAGGTGCAGGAGGTGGCCACACAGAGTTCTGAGGTCAGTCAGGACTCTGGAGTCGTTAGGAATGGAACGGAAATTCAGTGCGGGTTTTAAACAGGGGACCAACCTGGGCAGGCCAGCTGCTGGGAAGAGAAAGAATTAGTGGAGGGTGAGAAGCCGTGATGCCACACGAGAGGCTACTCCAGCAGCGCGGGTATGACAGCAGCTGGCCGAGCGGTGCGGGTGGACAGGGCAGTCAGGGACAGGCCAGTCTGCGTGGTGGAGCTCAGACCCACAGAACGACCGGTTCAAAAATTCTCCTGGTACAGTCAGTGCAGCAGAAAGAAGTGCCGTATCCTGGGACAAGGAAAAACCCGGAGAGGAACAGGTTTGGGGCGGGGCAGAGTGAGGGCAAGAAGAGGGGAAAAGAAAAAAGCAAGAGCTCTGCATAAGCATGCCAAGGGTGAGGCCCCTAGCAGCCATCCACGTGGAGAGGCTGAGAAGGTGGCTGGGTGTTCCAATCTGGGGCTCGGAGGTCAGGCCCAGAGATGGGACAATGACAAGTAAGTGCTCCATGGCCCCTACTCTGTGCCAGGCACCACTCTGGGAGCGTCACATCCATGAAGCAGTTCATCCCCATCCCCTGCTCTCCAGGTGAGGAGACTGAAGCATGGGGTCAACACCGCGGTGGCGGTCGCCGAGCAAGCAGGTGACAGCCCCACACAGACACCGGCTCTCGAGTCTGTGATCTTACCTGCCGGGTGGTTTGTTAAGTCTCCCCAAACTCTACGCCATTTATTGGTCCCCCTCATATCCCTACCTTTTCCGGGGAGGGGGGTGGTGTCAGAGGCCCTGCTGGCATTCTCCATAATGTCCAGAAAGTTAACTGAATGAATATCTTATCTCTATTAGCAGAGATATCTTACCTTATTGTTCAGGCATTTTAACTCCATCTTAGCAGACTAAAATAGAGCTAGTTTTCATTAAAATAAGGATAAAATAAGTATTAAAAAGGCAGTTTGACAGTATTTAGTTAAATGTGCATGTTATAGAAGAACTCAGTTATTTTTCAACTGCAAATACCTTAGGTTCTACTAATTAGTTGTTAAACAATTTGAGTCACAAAATGATGGAAACAAAGCCCATCCTTTAAATATACACTTGTTTACGGACATTCTGTGTAAAACCTTAGTAACTGTCATCTGTGGTCTGAGTACCATTGGTTGAGAATCAGTCTCACAATGGGGCACCTGGGGGGCTCAGTCGGTTAGGCAGCCGACTCTTGATTTTGGCTCAGCTCATGATCTCAGGGTCTTGAGATCAAGCCCCATATCCAGCTCCTCCCTCAACGCGGAGTCTGCTTGAGGATTCTCTCTCTTCCTCTGTCCCTGCCCCTTGCTCTTTCTCTAAAATAAATAAAGAAATCATAAAAAAAAAAAAGAGAGAGAGAGAGAAAATCACTCTTACTCATAGCTGACTTTTGAGAAAATGCTGAAGAAACCCATTAGGATAAAGAACTGACTACTGGACACTGATAACATACTCAGCCAGCAGCCTCCTGTTAAAACCTTATGTTAAAAGGTAAGAACAGACCTAACCAAAGGAAACAGCAATGTGAAGTCAATTGGGTTCGTCCAATGACCAACACTAAACTTTAAGTCTTTCTTCTTAGCTCAGCTACAAGTTCCTGAGGACAGAGACAAGTGTTTGTGGATCTCTGGGTTTCCCACGCTCTGTGAAATTGACTGATGTCCTTGAGACCTGGGGAACTGCAGCAGGGTCGTATAACCAACAGAGCAATTGGGCCAGGACCTGGGAGACCAGTCTGAGAAACAACCTTTCCACTTCACCTCCCAGCCTCAGCTTCCTCTTCTGCATCATGAGTGGGGTCGATACTATCAGCCCTGCCTGTCTAACAGGACTGTCCAGAAGGTCTACTGAGAAAACTGACCAGAAAGTGCCCAGTAAGCTGTGGAGTACTTTATAGCTATTGCCTGTAGGAAGCCATCACATAGCCTCTACATGACTGCAAGAGCTTCCTAACAGTCTTCTGCTTCCATGTTTACCCCCACATGATCCAATTTCTAGGTAGCAGCCAAAGTGATTCACTTCCTGGCCTAAAACCCTCCTAGGGCTTCCATCACACTTAAAATCCAAACTCCTCAGTCTTCGTCTCCACCTCTAATGCCAATCCCCCATGCTATAACCACACTACCATCTTTAGTTTCTAGAATCTGCCAGGATTGTTTCGTTTCCAGAATTCCCCCAGCTTCTGCAGACCTGGCTCCGGGATCACGGGACCTGCAGTAACTGCCCCGCCCTGCCCTCCGTTCTCTATCACATCTTCCTGTTTTGCTTTCTCTCTCTTTTTAAAAATATTTATTTATTTATTTGAGAGAGAGAGAGAGCACGAGCAGGAGGGGCAGGGGGAGAAGGAGAGAGAATTCGAAGCAGACTCCACACTGAGTGCGGAGCCCATTGCAGGGCTTGATCTCAGTTCCCAGAGCCATGACCTGAGCTGAAACTGAGAGTCAGACACTTCACCGACCGCAGCACCCAGGCGCCCTGTTTCACGTTCTCTGTAGCACTCATCACTACCTGAAATCATCTTCATTGCTTATATGCACACTGCCCATCTCCCCAGACTAGGCTGGAAGTCCTTGCTATGTAGTGTAGTCAGGATTCATCTATATGTTCAGCTGGGGGAGCAAATGAAGTACCTGGATAGAAGTGGCCAGGAATATGGCTAAAAATGCTCAGGAATGTGTTTTGATTACCTCGTTCATCGCCAGAAACTGTAAACTTGTATGGACTCTGACCAGTCCATAATCCTACATAGCCAATAAATGTGGTTCCTGTGAATGCAACCTGAAATCAAGAGATAGGTATCATTTTGCCATTCCCACCAAACATATATTGAAATCCTCTGTTTTGTCCCCCTCATGGATTTTTTTTCTTATAAGTTCCAACATAATAAAAACTCTTAAATAGCCTTCTGGAAGGTTTAACCTGGGGGTTCCATGGATAGAAATCAGTGGGTCTGTGATCTTGCATGGGAAAAAAGGTACATCTTTATTTTCACTCATTTCTAACTGAAATTTCACTCCTTCAGTAATGGATGCACGTTAACAAATCCTGTACTCACAGCAGAGCCTATGATTCTGCCACCATAGACATAGCAGATATTTTCACATATATAATGCTATCATACCTACCTTGACACAGTATAATTACATATCCTGAAATACCACTCATGACTATCATTATGCGAGTTATTAGATGCACAGCTAAAATTTACTATTTAATGTGTTGAGAAAAAGTATAACATTGAAATGGCTATATTCCAACATAACTGGTTTTCTTTGTAATCCATACATTTTATTTTGTGTATTATAAAACATTCTGAGAAGGGATCATAGGCTTCACCAAAGGGGATCATGCCCTAAAAAGAATGAGAAACTCCATCCTAGAAATAGCAAATGGGCTCCAATTAAAACCTTGTGTTGACTTGATCAAAAGTCATGCATCTTATAAGCTCTGTGAGGTAAGAGGAAATAAGTGAGATTGTTTGTCAGTCATAATCATATTTAAATTTTAAATATTAAAAAACTATTTTACATGTATCTCTCATGTAATCCTCATGGTTATCCCATGAGTTATAGGGATCACTTCCACTTTAAATTAAGGTAACAAGCTCCAATGGTTGCAAGATACCACTATAGGACTATGAGGAGAAAAATCACACTCTAGCAGTTACTACAGATACCAGATTTCATTTCTTTAAAGAAATACTTAGAATGTGCCTGTTCAATAAAGGTGAACCAATATTTTTTATTTTGAGAAACAAATAGGCCTGGGTTAATATTTTTCCTTAGAAAGCTGAATTTCAGGGGCACTTGGGTGGCTCAGTCAGCAAAATCGTCTGCCTTTGGCTCAGGTCGTGATCTCCGGGTCCTGGGATTGAGCCCCATGTTGGGCTCCCTGCTTTGTGGAGAGCCTACTTTTCCCTCTCCGTCTGCATCCCCCCCTGCATGTGCATTTGCGTGCGTGCGCTCTCCCTCTCTCTCTCTGCCCCCCCCATGCTGTCCCAAATAAATAATCTTAAAAAAAAAAAAAAGGCTGAGAAATAAGTCAATCAGAGAAAGACAATTATATGATCTCACTGATATGAGGAATTTGAGAACAACAAGACAGAGGATCATGGAGGGGGGGAATGAAACAAGACGAAACCAGAGAGGGAGACAAACCACAAGAGACTCTTAATCTCAGGAAACAAACTGAGGGTTGCTGGAGTGGTGGGGGGTGGGAGGGATGGGGGGGCTGGGTGATGGACGTTGGGGAGGGTATGTGCTATGGTGAGTGCTGTGAATTGTGTAAGACTGTTGAATCACAGACCTGTACCCCTGAAACAAATAAGATATTATATGTTAATAAAATAAATAAATAAATAAAAGCCATTTATAGAAGACCTAAAAAATAAAAGCTGAATCTAAAGTCTGTAATCTTTTTAATCATTTATTTCTACCTCATCTGGTTGTAAAAATAATTTAAGGTGCTAAATTATAAAGAAAAAATGCAGTGGCCTTAGTTTTATAAATGACCTTTTCCCAGCTCATTGAGGGCTTTCTTTTTTTTCTTAATAAAGATTTTATTTATTTATTTGACAGAGACAGACACAGCGAGAGAGGAAACACAAGCAGGAGAAGCGGGAGAGGGAGAAGCAGGCTTCCCACTGAGCAGGGAGCCCGATGTGGGGCTAGATCCCAGGACGCTGGGATCATGACCTGAGCCGAAGGCAGACGCTTAGTGACTGAGCCACCCAGGCGCCCCTCATTGAGGGCTGTGTGTGAATTCTCCCCACTTCCATTCATGGCAGTAAAATGGGCATAATTCTACCTTGCTGCTAAAGCCTTTACAAAATGTAACTATCTGAAGAAAAAAAATAATCATACTGTCACTTCATTCATATGACACACTGACACTCATATTAGGGTCACTCTTGAAGGGCAGAGCAAATTAAAGTTTGAGAATCAAAATCACGTTGTAGTTTCCAAGATATTTGATAACACATAATTATAAATGATTCTGGGGTATAATTTGCAAACTCTTTTATCTTGTGGCTCTGAAAAACTGTCTTTATTTCTAAATGCCTGTGCTTTCCATTGTCTCTGCCAAGTCAGTTAACATAAACAGACCCTTAGCTGTAGCAGGAAACTCTAAAACATGGTCTGAGTTTGGGGAGAAGAAAGTCATTGGGCTTTGATCCTGCCTCTGCCATATCTCCCCAATGTGAGCTGGGGAAACGTCCTCCATGTAAGGCCTCCCCTTCTCACCTGGAAAATGAGGATGAAAATGTTGATTTGTGCTGCTCAAAGGGCTGTGGTGAGGATCTAATGAAGAATGGTATGTGAAAATATTTTAAAAATTATGAACAATATTCAAGAGTAAGAGATTAATTATTTTGTGGATAACCTGTTCTTAATTTAGCAAAACAATTTCTTGGCCATGAGCCCTTAGCATAAAGACAATACTCAAGTGTACACCATTAGATTTGGTAATAATAATTGAGCACTAAGAGTCAAGCCATACCAGCAGACTATTTCTCATGGGAGGTCCAGGACACACAGGAACAAAAGAAGCATCACCAGTTAGGGTGAAGTCTAGGGGTGCCTGGGTGGCTCAGCTGGTTAAGCATCTGCCTTCGGCTCATGTCATGATCTCCAGGTCCGGGGATCGAGTCCTGCATTGGGCTTCCTGCTCAGCATGGAGTCTGCTTCTCTCTCTCTCTCTCTCTCCCCCTCTGCCCCTCCCCACTGTTGGTTCTCTCTCTCAAATAAATACAATCTTTTTTTTTTTAAAAAAAAGGATGAGTTCTAGAGAGAACCGTCGAAATAATTTATTTTTACTGCATTTACTCCTTTGTCTACTTAGAAGAATTTCTGCTTATTGTAGATAATGGAGAAAAGCATAAAGTCATCAATTAAAGTAATTATTGTCCCATGATCCGGTAATAACTGCTAACATTTTAGCAGATTTCCTTTAGGAATTTAGTACGCACGTATATTCTGTCATTGTTACCACTTAAAACCATTTTTGAAGTAGTTCTTCAGCTATAAACCAAATTGTTAACAGTGGCGAAGTAAAGGAATGAAATGGAAAAATGAGAAACTTTCACTGTATGTATTTCTGCATTGTTTTCATTTTTATGAGAAAACGTTTTTGTTTGTAAAAGCAGATAACCAAGTATTTAATAAATGAGTTTGTAGTATTTGTGACTCAACCCCGAAATGCAAAGAACATATGCAATATAGTCCTTGTCCTTGAACAGTGTTCCCCAAAGCCAAAATCTGGCTTTAGCAGGTTGTTTCATGGCCATAACATGCTTTGTGTATTCAATGAACATTGATTAAAGCTGTCTCTCCAGATGTTTACACAGAAATGTGAAAACAGTACATATTAGGTTGTATTTTTATGATGAAAATAAAATGATCTAAGTATAATTTCTTAAAGATCATACTTAGGAGAGTGCTGTGGGTCAATCATACTTATAGAATAAAGGACCATTTATTACTTGGCCACTACTTATCAAGCATTTATTACATGCTTTGCATAGATTACTTCATGTAACATTTATAACTAACTCCATAAAGTAATTATTAACCTCCCTGAGCTGTAGTCTGCAAAATGTGTCTAAATAATTTCCCATGTTCTCAAAGGAAGTAAGTGACAGAAACAGAATTCAAACCCAGGACTGTTGGACCTCAAAGTTGGCTGTTTCTAGCCATGACACCATGCAGCCCCTCCCTATTCCAGAAGCAGCCTCAACACGGGAAAGCTGAGAAAGAGCTGATATGGATGACTGATCATACTGACAGTTATTTCCCTAAGGAAAATTGGTTGACTTCTTTAAATAGATGCTCAGTAATAATAAATGACCCTTCTTTCCATGAGCCTAATGGACGTAAACCTGTGGTTTTGTTTTTCCAGGAGTTTGATGTTTTCTGTTCCTTAAACTGGTTTTCTGTTCCTTAACTGAACACACTTAAGCAGCAGGCCATCCTAGTGATTGCAAACTTTGGTTAGCAAGTCTCTCTGATTTCTGAATATTATAGTGTACAAACTATACCTGCCCATTCTTTAAGAACTGCACATCCACAGTCAACTTGCGTAAGAAATTTCCAAAAGGATAATCCAGATTCCGGCCATGGTAAATGTGGCCTCTGGAGTCTTGAGCCACAATACTGGTGCAGAATCTGAGAAAACAGAAAAGTACAATATGAATGAATGAGAAAAATAAGAAAAAGGAAAATGAGGTTTCATTTAAAAAACAAATCCTTAAAGTAAAACAATTCTTATAATAGATACATATGATAGGTGATCCTTGTACAAGCATATGGATTCACAATTCAAGATGAAAAGCACAACCAGACACACCTACCTCATCAGTGTTCATTTGGTGTTATTAGACCGTTGCCCTTAGCACACATGGAAGTGAAAACATACGGAAAGAGAATTTCATCCTAAACCTAAATCTGAGGGGCACCCGGGTGGCTTAGTCCATTAAACATCTGCCTTTGGCTCAGGTCATAGTCCCAGGGTCCTGGGATCGAGTCCCACGTCAGGCTCCCTACTCAGTGGGGAGTCTGCTTCTCCTTCTCATTCTGCCCCCACTCATGTTCTCTCTCAAATAAATAAATAAAATCTTTAAATAAATAAATCTGAAACTGACCCATTCTGGGCTCCGCTAGACCTCAGAACTTTGCTTATTCCTCCGCTTGGCAGTATGTAGTCTATTTAACATACCATTCAAAGCTAGTTCAGATTCACTTCTCTTTTATGAATTTCTCAGAGCATGTACAAGGGCACTAAATCATTTTGTTCCACAAAATGTTTCAGTTTGTCCTCTGAGGGAAAACAGTCAACTCTTTAGGGGCTTGGCACTTTCCCTGTCCCCATCAGGGCTCCCTGCACAGAGAAAAGGAACTTTTAAAAGAACTCCCAGCTGGAGCACCTGGGTGGCTCAGTCGGTTAAGTGTGTGGCTTCAGCTCAGGTCATGATCTCAGGATCCTGGGATCGAGTCCCAGGTCTGTCCGGGTTCATCCGGGTCCATCAGTCTCCCCACTCAGCAGGGAGTCTGAGTCTCCCTCTCCTGCTCCTCTGCCCTGCTCATGTTCTCTCTCTCTCAAATAAATAGAAAAAAAAAAAAAAAAAAAAAGAACTCCCAGCTGGAAAGAAGTATTTTGTGGAAAGGAGGAAGAGGTTTGTTAAGATAGCTAAGTGTCTGTTTCTTCTGAGAATATGTAATGTTCTATGGAAAAATACTTAGACAGCATACCCAATTCTGGGGAAAGAGAAGTACATCCACACAAACAAAACAAAGTATCCTGAAAGACTGTTGGTCATTTCTGAGTAGCAGAATTGTAGTTAATTTTTTTCTTCTTTTCTGTATTTGCTAATTTTCTATAACGACTACATATTACTTTTATAATAGGAGAAAATAAATGTTACTTAATTTTTTTGTTTGTTTAAAAAAGGAAGTTTGGTTAGTTCTAAATTTTTCCCAGGATTTCTGGTCCTCAAAGAGTTGATGTTGAAGAGGGGGCTGATAAAACACCAGAAGTGGCTAAAGCAAAGTTTGTGGAATCTCTCCCAGAGAATTTTTCAAAACTGGCAAGACAATACTTCTATGTCAAGCCGAGTACTTTTTTTTAAGTAGGCTGCACGCCCAGAATGGAGCCCAACGTGGGGCCTGAACTCACGACCCTGAGATTAAGCCCCGAGCTGTGATCAAGAGTCAGACACCCAACCGACTGAGCCACTCAGGCACCCCATAAGCCAAATATTTTAGCCCACAAGCTCAGGGAACAAGAGGGGAGGTGTGGGCTTTAGGGGAAGTACTGCAGTGCGCTGGAGACACAGGAGATTTTAGCAGCAGCCCTGACCACTCACCAGGCACCTGACTTTCAGCAAGTTTTCCCTTCTGAAGCTTGGTTTCTACACAACGGGTAATAACCATCCCCAGTGCCTGGCACCCAGGAGGCTCAGTAAAGGGTAGCTACTATTATTCTGATTCAAAAAGCCCTACATCAGAAATGTGAACAGAACATTTCCTTTGTTAATTCTTTTTTTTTTTAAGATTTTATTTATTTATTTGAGAGAGAGAGAGAGACAGAGATAGTGAGAGAGTGCACAAGCCATGTAGGAGTGACAAGCAGGCTCCCCGCTGAGCAGGGAGCCTACCCATGCAGTGATGGATCCCAGGACCCCAGAATCATGACCTGAGCTGAAGGAAGAAGCTTCTCTGCTTAACTAACTGAGCCACCCAGGCACCCCCCCCTCCTTTGTTAATTCTAATGGCATCTGATGGTGCTTTTTGTTGTCAGGCAATTCAATACCTACCTTAATATCAAATCCAAAAGTTAGAATGTTTTTATTAGAACTTTTGCTTAAATCTGCTTGAATACATAGACTCCAACAACAACAACAACAACAAAAAACCGTGGAAGTAAAATTTTTCTTTTTTTGTAACTGAGAAAGTCACATGCCAGAATAGGAAAAAGATGGGGGTAGGAGATGAGGAATGGTAAAATGAACTTGGTTCAATTGAAAAGCATGTTCATTTAACAAGTTTGTCTTATCTGTGTCTTTAAACATTTCCCTAAAGAGGAAGGCACTCCGTGCTTCTTAACCTATCGTGCCTAGGGGTTCAGGGAAGATACCAGGGGACAGTAAAGCTGCCTTATCCCAAGAACTCTTTTTTTCCCCCATATCTTTTGGCAGACAAAAGCTACCAAGTATGTCATTAGATAAGGCTGGTCTGGTGGCAAAACAGTAAGTCCTGAAGGCAGAAGCCAGGTCAATCCTCTCTTATTTCCAGGACCTACTACTGAGCCAATAAGACTTAAGACTCTCCCTGCACTTTGCATGGGATCAGCTACACACTCTTAAGTGCTTTCACTTCTGTGTGCCATTTTATCCTGCCCACCCTGCCTACCAAATACCGGCTCTCCCTATTAGCCAGAACAATATTCCCTGTGACCCCAGTCCTGGAGGGTACAGACTCTGAAAGGGAAGTCAGGATCTCCAGGCATGACAAACATGGAGGGATAAATGCAGGGGGACAAATGAGTGTTGGGATGACCCCCTGCATTATAAGGGTGCAGGGTCACTGGGTTACCCAGACGGTCCATATGAGAGTGGGGTTAGTTCTAAAAACTTCCTGTTAAGGTACATGTTGAGTTTGGAAAGTGGGATACTACCTGAATTGGTAGAGGGATAAAGAGGGGCTTGGGGAGAGGAAAAGGTCAATGTTGAGGTCCGAGAAGCTGCTTTCCTTCTCGAAGCTCATGATGCGCTGCTCAGATTTACCCAGAGAGGCAAAGAGGAAGCACTGAAGTTTCAGCACAGCCCCGGCACCACCCTATTTTTATCACACTGGAAGTAAGTCTCCTCCCAGCCAGATGTGGCAGGAGTCCCTGGTAAATCCCAGTTAATCCACGCTAGCGTGGGACACTCACGCGGTGGACTCGTAAACCAGGTTGAGCAGCAGGCAGTCGGCCAGGCTGTAGTTCAGGACTTCGCACATGCCACGGATCTCGTCGGTGAAGGGCTGGGGCAGGAAGCGCGCCAGCTCCCCGACCACCTTTCCAATCAATGCGTGGACCCACTTGGGGACCTTATTCCTAAAAACGAAGAACCACAAGGGTGTTTGATCTGCTCAGGGGTCGAAGGGGTGCGACTATGTGTGTATGGGTGGTGGGGTGGTTCCTGAAGCTCTTATCCTTAGGGGTGCTAGGTTCCTCCCCTTCCCAAAGGGCCAATAGCCCAGGCCCGGCATCACCCAACCCGCGGCATCCCGAAGGGAAAAAAGAAAACTCGGAAAGGGAGATAGAGCAAGCGAGTGTGGTCCCCAAAGAGGCGGACTTGGGAGACTCGCCAGACCTGCAACAGGGGTGTGGGCTGCGTTCCCTACTCTGCGTTGAGCAGGCGGGTGACAACCTGCACGCCACCCTGACCCAGAATGTCTGGGGGAAGGGCGTGCCTCTGGTGACTGAAAGTCAAACCAGCCGCTCCGATCATCCTCAAGCCTGACGCTTCCCAGAGCAGCAACAAATGCCAGCTCCGGTCTCCGCCGAGCTCGCATGCTCCTGAGGCCGCGGGTGAGGAGGCTGAGGTCGAGGGCAAGTCGGTCCCCGAGGGCGGGGAGGGGTAAAGCGGCTCGGTTTACGGCCCAGCTAGCAGCACCTATCTGGGCTTCCCGCACGCGGACTCAGGCCGCAAAGAAGGTGCCCCGGGGCGCTGACGCCGCGCCCCTGGCCCCGCGCCCGCGCTCACCCGAGGATGTGCGCCATCGTGGTGCGCAAGAAGTCGAGGTCGAAGTGCCTCAGCACGGGCAGCCAGCGCAGCTCGGGCGCCGCGTCCAGGCTCACGTTGAAGAGTGGCGGGGCTGGGGGCAAGGCGGCGGCAAACACCCCGGCCCCGGCCAAAAGTAGCAGCAGCGCCGGCCCCGGGCGCGCCCCCGGCCCCGCGGCCCGCATGGCTCGGGCTCCGGCGGTCGCAACTGGGACCGCGGTGGCCAGCGGGCCCGGGTAAGGGCTGGCGGAGGAGGAGTCGGGGCGGTGCCCAGAGCGCTGGAGGCGGAGCCCGCGGCGCGGCTAGGCCCGCCGTGTCTCTCGCGACCGCAAACCGCAGGAGAGCAGCGGGCGCCGGCTCGCATCCGCGCTTCCGGCCCCCATCCCTCCCGCGGGGGCCGCAGCCCCGACTCGGGAGAGCGCTAAATGCTGCGGGCCTCTCACGCTACTCCCCGCCGCGTTCCTCCCCCTGGGGTCCAGAGAGTGTAAACTGGGGCCTGCAGGGGAAGTCAAAGAAGATGATTTTCAGTAGCGAAGAGGTAGCAGGAAATCCTATTGTAGGAAGGGATCTGTCCCTTCCTCTCCGCCTCATTTGCTTATATTTAAATTCTTCAAAAGTTTATCTGAGTTTTACAAGAAGAATTATTTTTTGTTTAACACTCCCACGTCTTTTCAGTTAAAAAAAAAAAAGCTTAGGAGTCAGTTAATATTTATGTGCCAAACGTTTTTGCTGACTCTCGTTTAATCATCAAAAGAGGCCAAAGATAGGTTCTACTAATTCATCCCTGTTTTCCTGATGAGCAATGTGAGGCCTGGAGAAGTTAAATAATTTGCTGGATGACACACCCCTGGTGAGCCTGTGTGCTAGCCTCCAAGCCAGGCTGTCAGAATCCAAACTCCACCTTCATAAACATTAACTTCACTTCTCCGTTCCCAATATCTGGGAGACAGAAAACTTGTCTTAGGAAAATCACCGGACTCAGCGAGGCTGGGACGTTCTTAATGGTTAGCAGGGACTAAATGTGTAGTAAATGTGTAGAGGAAATTTAGAAAGTTCATTTTTTCCAGGTTTGTTTTTAACTCCCCTCCACCCCCCATCAAATAGAATACACCACTGGTACCTCTGATTTCCCCTTTTCCCCCATTTTTTATGGCCTGTATGTCACTGGGTTAACAGTTTCAAGCCTCTGCTTCCACTTTTAACTGGTCTTGGCGTAAAATCTAAATAAAGACCCTGGTCCTAATTTGCTCATTTGCAACAGCAGTTGTGTGCTTACGCCACAGGTGCATCCTGAGAATCACCAAAACAGTAAACAGATTAGTTGAGTTTAAAGAGGTGCACTTGCATTTAAAAAAAAAAAAAAAAGGACTTTCTGTCACGTTAAGGTTGATATTAAAAAGATAAAAATAAAAGATCTGTAAGACAACCATGATAAAATATACTGAATGAACAAATCTACATTGTGGTTAAGCAGGCATTATTCACAATTAAGCTGAGCTTCATATAATTTTCTGTATTACATTCTTCTAGTATTAAGAGGTTACACGTTCTAGGACAGTTTAAAACAAACGTTAAAAGGGAGATCTGAAATTACAAAAATATTAACCCTTTCCTTTCTGCTGCTTCTATGCTGTGCAGATTCCAGAGATGGTGTACATTGATTTCATGGTTCATCTATGGATCAGAACCTAGAGTTTAAAAAATACTTCTGTGGAGAATGCATGAAGGTAAATGACTGTGTCAGAAACATGTGATATAATGTTTTCATAGCTTGTATCTCATTTTGTTCAGTTTATTTTTTCATTTTTTTTCCTGTTCTGGTAACACTTTATTTTTTTTTAATTTTTTAAGTTAAATTCAATTAATTAACATATAATGTGTTGTCTCAGGGGTACAGGTCTGTGATTCATCAGTCTTATATACCCAGTACTCATTACAACACATACCCTCCCCAAAGTCCATCACCCAGTTACCCCATCCCTCCACTCCCAGCCCCTCTAGCAACCCTGTTTGTTTCCTATGATTAAGAGTCTCTCATGATTTGTCTCCCTCTCTGGTTTCATCTTGTTTCATTTTTCCTCTCTTCCCCTAGGATCCTCTGCCTTGTTTCCTAAATTCCACATATCAGTGAGATCATATGATAATTGTCTTTCTCTGATTGACTTATTTCACTTAACATAATATCCTCTAGTTCCATCCAGGTCATTGAAAATGGCAAGATTTCATTTTTTTGATGGCTGCATAATATTCCGTTGTATATATATACCACATCTTCTTTATCCATTCATCTGTTGATGTACACCTGGGCTCTTTCCATAGTTTGGCTATTGTGGACATTGCTGCTATAAACTTTGGGGTGCAGGTGCCCCTTCAGATCATTACACTATCTTTGGGGTAAATACCCAGTAGTGCAATTGCTGGGTCATAGGGTAGCTCTATTTTCAGTTTGTTTGAGGGACCTCCATACTGTTTCCCAGAGTGGCTGCACCGGCTTGCATTTCCACCAACAGTGTAGGAGGGTTCCCCTTTCTCCACATCTTTGCCAACATCTGTCGTTTTCTGACTTATTAATTTTAGCCACACTCTGGTGTGAGGTGGAATCTCATTGTGCTTTTGATTTTGATTTCCCTGATGCCGAGTGATGTTGAGCACTTTTTCATGTGTCTGTTGGACATTTGGATGTCTTCTTTGGAGAAATGTCTGTTTATGTCTTCTGCCCATTTCTTGATTGGATTATTTGTTCTTTGGGTGTTGAGTTTGATAAGTTCTTTGTAGGTTTTGGATACTAGCCCTTTATCTGATAGGTCATTTGCAAATATTTTCTCCCATTCTGCCAGGTGTCTTTTGGTTTTGTCAACTGTTTCCTTTGCTGTGCAAAAGTTTTTTATCTTGATAAAGTCCCAACAGTTCATTTTTGCCTTTGCTTCCCTTGCCTTTGGCAATGTGTCTAGCAAGAAGTTGCTGCAGCCGAGGTCGAAGAGTTTGCTATGTTCCCCTCTAGGATTTTGATGGATTCATTTAATGAATCCATCACATTTAGGTCTTTCATCCATTTTGAGTGTATTTTTGTGTAAGGTGTAAGGAAATGGTCCACTTTCATTCTTCTGCATGTAGCTGTCCAATTTTCCCAACACCATTTGTTGAAGACACTGTCTTTTTTCCATTGGATATTCTTCCCTGCTTCGTTGAAGATTAGTTGACCATAGACTTGAGTATCCATTTCTAGGTTCTCTATTCTGTTCCACTGAACTATGTGTCTGTTTTTATGCCAGTACCGTACTGTCTTGATGATTACAGCTTTGTAATAGAGCTTGAAGTCTGGAATTATGATGCCACCAGTTTTGGTTTTCTTTTTCAACATTCCTTTGGCTATTTGGGGTCTTTTCTTGTTCCATACAAATTTTAGGATTATTTGTTCCAGTTCTGTGAAAGAAGTTGATGGTATTTTGATAGGGATTGCATTGAATGTGTACATTACTCTAGGTAGCATAGACATTTCAACAATATTTGTTATTTCATCCATGAGCATGGAACGTTTTTCCATTTCTTTGTGTCTTCCTCAATTTCTTTCATGAGTATTCTATAGTTTTCTGAGTACAGATCCTTTGCCTCTTTGGTTAGGTTTATTTCTAGGTATCTTATGGTTTTGGGTTCAATTGTAAATAGGATCAAGTCCTTAATTTCTCTTTTTTCTGTCTTATTGTTGGTGTATAGAAATGCAACTGATTTCTGTGCATTGATTTTCTATCCTGCCACTTTACTGAATTCTGGTATGAGTTCTAGCAGTTTTGGGGTGGAGTCTTTTGGCTTTTCCACATAAAGTATCATGTCATCTGCAAAGAGTGAGAGTTTGACTTCTTCTTTGCTGATTTGGATGCCTTTGATTTCTTTTTGTTGTCTGATTGATGAGGCTAGGACTTCTAGTACTATGTTGAACAGCAGTGGTGATAGTGGACATCACTGCCGTGTTCCTGACCTCAGGGGAAAAGCTCTCAGTTCTTGCCCATTGAGAATGATATTTGCTGTGGGTTTTTCATAGATGGCTTTTATGATATATCCCTACACTGTGAAGAGTTTTAATCAAAAAAGGATGCTGTACTTTGTCAAATGCTTTTTCTGCATCTATTGAGAGGATCATATGGTTGTTGTCATTTCTTTTATTAACGGAGTATATCACATTGATGGATTTGCAGATGTTGAACCGACCTTGCAGCCCAGGAATAAATCCCATTTGGTCATGGTGAATAATCCTTTTAATGTACTGTTGGATCCTATTGGCTAGTATTTTGGTGAGAATTTTTGCATCTACGTTCATCAGGGATATTGGTCTGTAATTCTTTTTGGTGGGGTCTTTGTCTGGTTTTGGGATCAAGGTAATGCTGGCCTCATAGAAAGAGTTTGGAAGTTTTCCTTCCATTTCTTTTTTTTTTAAGATTTTATTTATTTATTTGACAGAGAGAGACACAGCAAGAGAGGGAACACAAGCAGGGGAGTGGGAGAGGGAGAAGCAGGCTTCCCGCCAAGCAGGGAGCCCGATGCGGGACTTGATCCCAGGACCCCGGGATCATGACCTGAGCCGAAGGTAGACACTTAATGACTGAGCCACTCAGGCGCCCCCCATTTCTATTTTTTGAATAGAATATTTTTGAAATATTAAAAGGGGTCTTTTAATATTTAATTTAATTCTTCAGAAGAATAGGTACTGGGCACCTTGGTGGCTCTGTCAGTTAAGCATCTGCCTTTGGCTCAGGTCATGATCCCAGGGTCCTGGGATCGAGTCCCGCATCAGGCTCCCTGCTCCTTGGGAGCCTGCTTCTCCCTCTGCTTCTCTCTCTCTCTCTCTCTCTCCTCCTCTGTCTCTCATGAATAAATAAATAAAATCTTTAAAAAAAAAAAAAAAAGAAAGAAAGAAAGAAAATTCCCAGATCTAAGGTATATATGGGAACTTAGTTTGGTCACAAAGATGGCACTGTCTCTCTGCGGAGATATATGTAACATAATAACTGACAAAGAATTAGTATCCGGAATATATAAAGATCTCCTACAAATCAATAATTAAAAAAAAACAAACAAACCAAAAATCTATAAAAAAAGAACCAAATGGCAAAAATCTATGTGAAACAACCTCAATCTCTCTAGTAATCACTGAAATCCAACGTAAAACAATATCATTTTATAAACAAGAGTATTTCCTCTTGGGCCTTTATTATTCATTTTCTTACATGTGTAGTTTGCTTA